ATATCAAGCATACAGAGTGCATACGTCGATTCCGCTTTAAACAACTGTTATATGCCTATTTCAACACATTCGTTTTTGCAATTTGCGCAATCTTTCCCTTAGACTTTTCAGCGTCACCTTGACTACCAATACATGTTACCGAAATTCAGCTGATCAATTGATCATGATTGTCATGGAAGAACAACTAATGAAACTTTCAGCTCTACTTCTTCAGGTCAAACAATTTTTAAGGAAGAAGAAGCAAGCTACCGGCCGCCCCCCTGTGTGGGTCATTGTCTCTATATACTCAGTGTGCACATGTCTGTCAATCAGCGATCGTGACGTGAACCGTGCCGGGTAGATGGAGCATGCGTACCTACATACAGCCGCTACCACGCGTGTCTTTGTGTCTGTTGAGAATGGTACGTTGAGTGACCTGCGCTGGGCAGAAAAAGTGGCGTACGGCACAGGGGCGTCGCCACGGAATTTTAAATGGGGGGACGGATTGGCCGACTAAAAACCCAAATGTAGACATTGTTACCGTACTTCATTGCATGTGCAATGGCAATGGACCGAAAGCCTACATATTGCACAGTAGATCAGATTCGAAATCCGTTTCAATTTAAGATGGTTGACGTCAAAAGCCTCTGAGCTTTTTTTATAAATTTAGGCCGAACCTTTTGAATGGAAGCATTCACAAGGACAGAGCCCCAGCTAAGCAAAGCTTGTTGAGGTGACCCTGCCCTCTACACTCCGATCGCGCAATTCCGGTTCTATGGCAGAATTTGGAGTCCAAAGTTTAACGTGCGCACATAGCCGCGCACGGCCGGTCCCCTTACTGACTTCGCCTGGCTACGGCCTGCCATCAACCGCAACCATACCTTTCGGAAGGCCCATAAACGTCAATCGCCCGTCGCGCTTGGAACCCGAACTGTTATAACCGGGAACGCGTGCTCTCACCATGCGGAGTCCAACGCTCTACCGACTGAGCTACGAGACCGGCGATATATCAGCAGGCGCGTAACCACCACTGGGGACACTGGGGACCGGTCCCCAGTAACTTGTGGGTTACTGGGGACCGTCCCCAGTAAAACTAACGACCACCTCAATTTGCTTAGATAGCCAAATATTGTATCTAAATCGACGTGAAGAGTAATATGTAATCAATAGAAGACAAAAAGTATGTTTTGTTTAGCCCGCGCCCGGGTGGGCCTCTCAGCCAACTTCGCCATGGTGGGGGTCTTTTTGGCCACACCAGATTATCTCTTGAAAGTAAGCAAGCTAGAAAGCGCAGTAAAAAAAAGAACATAAAGCTCGCTACAGGATCTTTCAGAAGTATCTAGGACATTTTTTATCAGTTCATCGCTGAAGTCACTGGAGGTCACCAAAGGTAATTACGGAGCGAGCGAAGCGAGCGTAGTCTTTCCTTAGATTAACGGAAATTTCTGAGTATGAGCGGCCGGCCGGCCGGCCGTGGTCACGCTTTTGCGAGGCTTATATCTCAGCAACCACTTGACCGATTTACATGCGGTAATTTTTGTAGGGTAGCTTCATTCCTTCTACCAAGTATTGCACTATTCCCGCTGCATGTGGGTGACCCCTTATGCACGTGCCACGTGCAAAACCAAGAGGTGTCACTTTTGTAATTGTTGCAATATCTCGGTAACTACTGGGCCGATTGCGCTGAGAGTTGGCATGTAGGTAGGCACCCACTAGGCAATGCATATCCATGTGCCAGAGTTGGGGTGCTGCTGCACGTGCGCACGTGCAGGGGTCGTTTCCAGATCTCGAGAACGGCTGGACCGATTGCGCTCAAATTTGGTACACGGTTACGGAGCAGTTAGTAGGGTGCCGTGCACAAGTCAGTTGGGACCCATTCTGCACGTGCGCACGTGCAGGGTGCCGCTTCCAGATCTCGAGAACGGCTGGGCCGATTGTTCTCAAATTTGGCACATCGCTAGAGACCGGTTAGTAAGGTGCCCTGCACAAGTCAGTTGGAGGAACCCCCTCGCAATTTCGCACGTGCAAGGCCCACCCTCTCGCTCGCTCCGTTAGTCGCCACAAAAGGCGTTATACTGGTTTTTTATGAACTTTTGTTCCCGATTTTGGCAACTTTTCACACATCGGCGTATAAGTCGGGAACCAATAGAGCTGCAGTGCTGCGGGAAATCGCATTCGATAGCTCTTTCAAAGGTCTTTCTGAATAATGTCCTCAGATTTGACCTATGGTCAACGGTTTAGCCTTCAGAGACAAAAACTATCAAAAGTTGGCGTTTTTGCGGAAACGGTTTTTGTAGCATAACTTTTGACTCCAAGCTTGTGTGACGCTGATTTTACAGCATCGCGTTTGTCTCGTCGAGACGCGTCGAATGAACTATAAGTTGACCTGAAAAGGAACTTGAAAATTTGACCTCAGGTCAAGGTCACGGAAAAAGGTCATGTTGCATGTCATTCGATTCGTATTGCTGAGCTGAACACATTCATGGTGTTTTCAGCGCTCTGGCATGTTTCTACCTAAAGCTATGGTAAAACACTGTTGGAGATATTTCATGACCTGACATGACCTCAGGGACATAACTAGGTAGAAGGAGTCACAGGTGCAATTTTCCGGTTCAGTGTGTCATGTTTACCTGTTTCACGGTGTTTAAATGTGTTTTCGGCCAAAAGAAGAGCATTCCAATTTTCCCCCCATTGACTTATAATGGAAAGGTCGCAAAATTGACCTGACATTAGGTCACCGATGTGACTTTGAGATATACCAATTGTTCATACTGATTTCCTCATGCAAAAGCCCGAGTTTCAAACTTCTGGCATGTAAACTGTAGGAATGACAGAGTCAACGTTTTTAGAGGCATGGTTACTTTACTCGACCTGGTGACCTGACCTTATGTGACCTGAGTCAAAATTTTCTCACACGATGCGAAATTAAGGTATCATAAGCTATACCAAGTTTGGCGGTGGTGCGCGCCGCGGTTTTCCTTACACGCGCAAAAAAAAAGCTGGGTATGGTGAACCCCCCCCCCCCAATCGGGCGAAGACTGATCCTGAAATATAATATTTGGTCTTCGCGGTCCATGTGGTCCCCAGTAACTTCAGACTCGTGGTTACGCGCCTGTATATCAGGATAGTACCTAATTATTGACGTGTAGGTAGCACCAATCAGATAATGTATAGGAACGCCCCTCCCCGCATGGGGACGATATTAGTCACATTCCTCTCTTTTTTTTGTGCGTAGCGCCGCCCGAAATTTTTTCGAAACGACTTGGCAAAACAGCTCCAAAGTACAATAATTTTGCATCACATCTGACAAGTTTGATACGAGAACACTAGTTCTGCTCATCAAAGCTGTCGTATTCGGGTGAGGTTGATTGTCGGTGTAGGGTAAGGATGCTTACTAGCGACCCTTTCCTATTTGCGACCCACCTCCCTACAGAAAAACTGGCAAGATAAATCGGGGAGAAAACAATGTCAAAAGGACTACGAAACAATGCCTAGCAATCTCAATTCTTTTCCGGTTGTCGGTGTCTTTGTTGACACGTTTTAGGTGAGTTTAAATAAAAATGGCCATTTCCTTATCCAAACCGGGTGTATTTGTGCCATGTCTGATGAAAAGCGATGCACGTTAAGATGATGCACCTTTTTTATTCTGAATCGACAATCATTTTTCAATTGATTGCAGCCTTCCCGTAGTGAATCGTTTCACTGTACACTGCATGTTGGTTAAAAATATGTCACAGCCCATATTTCCTATTTGGGACCGACATTGTCGCAAGTAGCTCAAGAAGGGAAATGAATGGGAAAAGAGAGAAGGGAAAATGAGGGGTTGCTGAAGCTTGCAATGTGTGGCGGGTGATACCAATTGTCATGGCAGACTGCAGGGGTGCCGAATCCAGCGTGGGCCTCAAATACAATACGGGATAACCTAAAAAAATGAGCTTTCGCCTTATTTTCGCTTTGGTGCATTACGTGATCAGCTTTCACAAACATAAACGTGCTGGCTAAATGCTGCTGTTCCAGTGATTAAGTGCTTTGCGTATATGTTACATTTAAGTATATTATTTCATGTTTTCGAGCGTAACATTTTTCGACATTTTTACTATGGGAAAACCCATAGACCTATTAGCGACCCTCCCCGGTTGCTAATCAGGACGAGTTCCCCATATTAGCGTTTTTTTTGCAATGGTTTGCTAAAATGCTCACTATACAAATACATTTGTGGACATTGGGGCAGAAAATGAATAGATTCTGATAGGAAAACGAACGGTCTCTCCAAAAATCAATTCAATAATACGGTGGCACACATAAAGCGTGAACAGTGACAGTTCAAATGAAGGGAGTCGCTAATTATGTATCTTACCCATATGTATAGGAATTTTAGGTGTCATGGTGCTACGCATTTGAATTAAAAGCGAAGCATTTATAGACCAGAAGCATTCACTAAAACTGGAAGGGAAAACTCCTACATTCCGTCTACTTGGGGACAATATCCCTCCGTCCACCGTCCTTCTCTGTGGCCAGCTTTGCTCACCGGTATCCGACGGGTCCGAATTTCAAAAGATGCTAAGATACATTTTCATTTTACCTGAGGTTTGGGTACCGTCGAACTGAACATCATCAACAAATTTTTTTTCTTCAAATTTTGTTGTTTCGTGAGATTTGTCCGTGCTACTTCATAGCTGAGACTTTATCTTGGGTTAGAGCTTGTATTGCGCAGTCAGTCGCACTACGTCGGACACACAACCTTGACAACAACCAGCCATATATGGGCAACAGACAGGCCTCGTGAAAAAGGAAGACAACAACTGACACGTCCTCTAAAACACTGCAATAGCTAAAGTCCTGCCGGCCAGCTTGATCAAGGCAAATACACAACACTCCTCCCCACTAAATTAAGCTCCAGCTTTTGAAATCACACGAAACCAATTTTTAGAAGCCAGCACACAGATCACATACATACATCTACATAAGCTTCGGCTACAGGTTGAGGCGTTTCACTGGTACCCGTGTCCGGGTGGAGCGCCTCAGCACCACTTCAGGCTCCGGCGCCGGCTGTCGGGTTGATAGCGGCGCTGGACGTCTGGGCGAGTCAGCGGCCTGTTCAGCAGCAGCTCCTTCGCGCACGGGCGTCGGCTCGCGTGCTGGTTCTTGTTGAGCTTCCGGAGGAGATGACAATGGTTCCTGCTCTGCAGACAGCGACTCAGGGCGGGCCGTCTCCGGAACAACGATTTCCCGTCGTATGCCTTCGTCGTCGTCTTCAATTGCATAGCCGGACGCAGATGACGAGGAGACGCCATTGGGATTTTCAGCAACTGGTCGATGTGGCGCTTCCAGACCTGGTCATGTACCTGGTCATGTACCGGACTGCTTATCGGCGCGCTCAACATTCAAAGCCTTGAGCCGAAGCTGCTCGAACTGACCGACGTGGTCAGCAGTCAAGACCTCGACGTTCTCCTACTCTCCGAGACCTGGCTGCGACCCAGCACGCCCAGTCGGCTGGTTGTGCTACCCGGGTACTCACTCAGCCGTGCGGATCGTCCCGACGGCAGTGGCTACGGTGGAGTCGCCATTGCTACCAAAAACTCTATCACCTCTGTAGCGCTAAAACTCACAGTTCCGCCGTGCCGTGAGAGTCAGCTGGAATCCCAGTGGATCCTCCTAAAACTGGAGAAAGATCGTCAGCTAATTGTCTGCTCGCTCTACCGACCGCCCCGCTACTCGGACACTGCCCTACGCGCTGATTTCAACGATCTCGAGTCTCAGCTGCAACGGATCCTGATCGACCACCCCAAGGTTCCGTTTGTCATCTGCGGCGACCTAAACTGCGATTTGCTGAAACACCGGAGTTTCCGCGCGCGTATTCACCTAAGTGACTTTTTATCGGACTACTCTCTCGATCAACTTGTAACTGCACCCACGTACAGCTCCGGCTCACTCCTTGACGTATGTATTGTCAAAACCCGTGAGCTCGTGCTCGACTGTCATGTAAAACACTGTCACTTTAGCCCACACAAGTTCGTAAACGTGCTACTTAACGTACCTAAACAGCGTAAAACTGCAACTGTCATCACAACCCGCTCAATCAACCGTGTCGATGTCGCGTCCCTAAATCATGACTTGATGTCCATCGAGTGGGACGAAGTGTTCACTGCAATGACCGTGCATGACAAATGGCAAGCTTTTCTGACTCATTTCCTACCCGTCCTAGATGACCATGCCCCTTTAAAGAACCTGACCATTAGAAACCCCACCGCTCCCCCCGTCTCAGCCTCCACCCGTGATATCATGGCCCAACGGCGCGCCGCACTACGACTGCACGGGCGGGAATCTACAGTTTATAAAGACCTGAATCGTTCAGTTCGTTCTGCCGTTCGCCGTGACCGGCGCAACGTGATTCAGCGGGAAATTAGTGAACGTGGCCCCAACAAGGTGTGGCAGGGAATCAAATCAGTCATAGCTGGTAAAAAAGAAAATAAAACAGTTCAACCCGATGTAACCGCTGACGAACTAAACTCATTTTTCGTGTCCGTCGGCCCCCGTATTGCTACCGAGATCCGAAACCAAAACACAGGTACCTATACTTACGCACGGCTCCCACGCGTCGGCGCATGCGGTTTCCAGCCCAGGCCTATCTCACTCGGTGAGCTCGAATGCACGGTTTTCAGTATGCGGAACTCAGCCGCCTGCGGAGCGGACGGTGTGTGCATCCGCATGCTAAAAACCAGTTTCTTGGCTATTGGCAGCGTCATACAGCACATCATAAACACCTGCATCTCAAAATCTGACATCCCCGAGCAATGGAAGCATTCCATAGTCCATCCCATTTTCAAATCCGGAAACCCATCTGACCCCAGCAACTTTCGACCCATTTCTCTAGTACCAGTTATCATGAAAGTTGTTGAACGAGTCATCCAGCAGCAGCTACAACACTATCTCTCTCAAAATCACCTTTTGGCACCTAGTCAGCATGGCTTTCGACCCCAACACTCAACTGAAACAGCACTTTTGTCCGTCACCGACCGCATCCTAGCTGCCACGGACAGGGGAGACATATCTTTCCTATGCCTTATCGATCTCAGCAAATGTTTCGATGTCATAGATCATAAACTCCTTCTCGACAAACTCGCACTGCACGGCATCGAAACTCCTTGGTTTAAAGCATATCTAAAAGGTCACACACAAAGCGTTTCAATGACCGATGCACTCCAGCGCAGGGTTCTGTCACGACCACTCCCTAACACTATGGGCGTGTTTCAAGGCTCGGCCCTGGGTCCTCTTTTATTCACGATCTTCTCAAACGATTTGGCGCTTCACGCCGACGACGCATGCGTTTTCCAATATGCAGATGATACCCAGCTTCTAGTGAGTGGCCCAAAAAACAATGTAAGTGGCCTTATCTCGCGCATGGAGGCCTCACTAGAAGCACTGAACAAATGGTTCCACTCTAACGCCCTGAAGGTCAACGCGAGCAAAACGCAACTCATGATATTCGGCAGCCGTCAAAATCTAAAACACTTGCCCCCAGTCGTCGTATCGTTTCGTGACACGGAGCTGGAACCATGTGCGCAGGCAGGAAACCTCGGCGTGGTGTTTGACAGCTGTCTGACCTGGGAAGCCCATGTATCTGAGCTCAGCCGGAGGTGTATGGGTCTGCTCATCGGCCTCTCCCATGTGCGGCACTGTCTTCCCGATGGGGTCATCAAAACCATTGTCACATCTCTAGTCATCTCCCGAGTAAATTACTGCCTCTCAGTTTACGGAAATGGTACAAAAAAGAACCTGAATCGACTCCAAAAGATCTTGAACTTCGCTACTCGAGTTATTTTTGGCCGTCGCAAATTCGACCACGTCACTGACCTGCGCGAGAAACTCAACTGGATGCCGCCCGAATTTATGTACAAACTTCAAACCATGGCCACTGCACGTAAGGCGATACACTACGGCGAACCGGTAGCACTTGCCTCTATGTTTGCCAAAAACCGGGACTCCTCAACCAGGAATAGAAATACACGTCAGGATAACCTTCTCCAGCTCCAGCGTCCCAGACTAGAAACCGGTAAGCGGCGTTTCAGTTACCGTGCCGCCGAGCTCCTAAACGACCTACCTCCCGACCTCTCACAGCTGCCACCCTCTAAATTCGCACGCGCTGTCAAGTCTCTGTGGAAAAACGATAGACCTTCGTGATGGCCTGAATTAGGCACTCGTCTTGTATGTATATAAGTACCTACACGGTATGTTAGAAATCGTAGCATATAGAGTCTTCCTGTGTGTGCGTGTATGTGTGTGTGTGTGTGTGTGTGTGTGTGTGTTGTTGTTCGACTGGTCTCTGTTCCTGCATGCTTATACCCGACTCAGACTCTGGGCAGTAATCGCCACGCCATGTGTGGATCGCCCATGATCGTAAATACAATACAATACAATACAATACCTGAACCAGGTAGTGCTTGGTCCCTACCACATCCATCACCTCTCCCTCCGCCCATTTTCGGCGACCGCGGTAGTCTCGGGCGAGGACCGCGTCACCGATGGCAACCTGTCGAGGTTGACCATGACGTCGCTCGACTTGCGTTTGCTGCTTGTTCTGGATTTGAGAGGTCAGATCAGGCTTCAGAAGATCTAGCCTCGTACGTAGCTGTCGTCCCAACATCAGTTCGGAGGGCGTTCTTTCTGTAGTAGCCTGTGGAGTGTTTCGATACGCCATCAGGAAGTTTGGCAGGTTCATCTTCTTTCCACTTGTGGCCTTCAGGTAGCCCTTGAGACAGCCAACAGCTCGCTCTGCTGCTCCGTTCGTTGCGGGTTTGAACGGTGCGGTTCGGACATGCTTTATTCCATTCCGCTTCAAGAACCCTTCGAATTCCTTGCTCACGAGTTGCGGTCCATTGTCTGTGACGATTTGGTGAGGTAGGCCAAACCGTGCAAACACATTCAGGAGATACTCGATAGTCTTTTCTGATGTGATGTGCTTCATTGGAGCGATTTCCATCCACTTCGAGAAACTGTCGATGAGGACAACGTACAGCTTCCCATCAACTGGGCCAGCGAAATCCAGATGGATTCGCTGCCACGGACCCTTTGCAAACTCCCATGGATGCAGGTCCGTACATGGTGGTTCAGCTCTCTTTTGCCAGCATCCTTGGCATCTTCGCACTTCTGCTTCAACTTCTTTGTCCATGTTTGGCCACCAGACGTGCATCCTGGCCAGCTGCTTCATTCTGACCATTCCTTGATGACCTTCATGTAGTTCTTCAAGAACTCTTTCCCTCAGATTCGGTGGAACTACCACTCGACAGCCCCACATTAGGCATCCTTGCTCCACCGTCAGCTCTGTTTGTCTGACCTTGAACGCATGTAGAGCTTCTCCGACTTTGTCTGGCCATCCTTTGTTTACGAAGTTGACCACTTTTGCGAGCAGCGGGTCTCTTGTCGTCTCACGCTGGATCGCTGCAGCAGTGACTGGGTTGAGAGAACTCAACTGGCCAATCAGCCACACGGTACATTCATCTTCTGGTGCACTTGAATTCATCACGGAGGTTCCTTTTGGTAGACGCGATAGCCAGTCTGCTACCGGTATCTGTTCAGACCTCCTGACTTCCACGGTGAAGTCGTACTCTGCCATTTTCATTGTCCATCTCTGAATTCGGCTTGCTGCTAACGTTGGCAGTGGCGTTTTGGGACCGATCACCTGAGCCAGTGGCTTGTTATCGGTCACGAGTTTGAAGTGACGTCCGTACAGAAACTGCTTCAGCCTTTCGAATGCCCAAACTATGCAGAGTCCTTCTTTTTCGATTTGTGAGTACTTCTTTTCATGTTCACTGAGTGATCTCGACACGTACAGCACAGGTCTTTCGGGAACACCCTGCACCAGGACTGCCCCCAGACCATGTGGACTGGCATCGGTGATGACAGTCACCTGTTCCTTCACGTCAAAGTGTCGGAGCACTTCAGCAGATGCCAGGCGGGCTTTGATTCTTGTGAAACTTTCTTCACATTCCTTTGACCACTTCCATTCTTTGTCCTTCTTCAGGAGTTCATTTAGTGGTTTCGCCATCTTCGACAGATTTTCCAGGAACTTGCTGTAAAACGTTACAGCTCCCAAGAACTCACGTAGTTCTCTTTGATTTGTTGGCGCGTTTGCCTCCAGCACCGGCTTCACTCGCTCGGGATCAGGTCGGATTCCGTTTGCACCCAATCGCACTCCCAGATAGCGAACTTCCTTCGCCATGAACTGACACTTTTCCCTCTTGAGGCGCAGACCGTTTGTTTTCAGGATCTGCAGCACTTCATCCAGCCGCTTCAAGGCTTCTTCTTCAGTTTTTCCTGTGATGAGGATGTCGTCCAGCAGACATTTGACACCTGGTACTTTCTTCAAGATTCAGTCCATCGCTCTCTGAAACAGCATCGGAGCTGACGCGACTCCATAGGGGAGCCTCAGCATCCGTTTCAGTCCGAACGGCGTGTTCAGGTAGCACAGTTCCTGACTTTCTTTTGACAACTTCATTTGCAGATAGGCTTGCGACAGATCCACCGCAGATACGAACTTCGCAGGTCCGATGGTTGCCAGAAAGTCTTCGGTCTTCGGCAGAGGATGTACCGGTACGTTCAGGTACTGGTTCAGCGTCACTTTGAAGTCGCCACAGAGGCGTACGCTTCCATCTGGTTTGGGCACCACAACCAGTGGTGTTGCCCACTTCGGCGTTGGTTCATCATCTCGGAGATCTTCGATTACTCCCAGCGTCTTCCATCTTTCCAACTCCTTTTCCACTGCATCAGTCAGACTGTAAGGTACTGACCTTGCTGGTTTGAAGACGGGCTCTGCGTCTTTCTTCAGTTCCAGATCAGCTTCCTGACCACTCATTGTTCCCAGTTCATCACTGAAGAGTTCTTCATGTTCCTTCAGCACTTAACTCAGCTTCTTCATATTCTTTTGTGGTTCAGGTTTTTCTTTCACTTGACCTACCAGACTTGACCAGTTCAGCTTGATTTCATGAAGCCAGTTCCTTCCAAGGAGGCATGGGCCATTTCCTCCCACTACATATACTGGCAGTTTCTTCATTTGACCTTCATACTGCACATCCACATCTGTCATTCCTCTGACAGGTATTTCATGTCCTGTGTAGGATGTGAGCTTACATCTGGTTTTCTTCAAGTTGAGGCCTTCAGCCTGCTCTTCTGGAATCATGGTTACCGGACAGCCAGTGTCCACAATGAACGTGACGTTCTTCTCGTTGACAGCCATGTTCACTTTGATGGCTTCCTTCCCTTTTGATGTGCTTTGGTACACACACAGATTTTCTTCAAATTCATCATCTTGGTCTTCTTTTTCCACATTCAGCGTTTTTCCATTTCTGCACGCTGCTTTCAGATGTCCTTGTTTCCCACAGTTGTGGCATCTGACGTGGGGTGGTACCCTGCAGAACTTGATCAGGTGGTTCGTTTTCCCACACCTGAAGCAATGTCTCCTTTCAGTTTTCTCCAACTTCCACTTCCTGTTTTCTTCATTGTTTTCATTTTTCCATGTCTTCCCTTGGCCATTTGCATTTTTCCATGTCCTCTTATCTTCATGGCTCTTTCTTTCATTTACATTCCATGGTTTCCTTCTTTCCTTCAGTGATTCATTTCTTTCTTTGTTCTGCCACTTCACCTTGTTCACTGCTTCTTCTTCTGCACTTTTTCCCATTCTTCTTACTTGTTCATTCACTGTTGCGTCAGTTGACCATATCATAATGGCACGTGATAGGGCCAGCACTCTTTCCTTGAGCATTGACTCCTTGACCTTGGAGGATGGGCACGTTGCCAAGAGCTTGTCCCTGATCAGATTGTCCATTTCCGAAGCTTCAAAATTGCATTTTCTTGCTTGCGTTTTCAGTTTGGCTACGTACTCCTCTACCCTACCTCCTTCATATTGCATCATGTTGAAGACATGACGCTCCACCACCGTGTTCACTTGAGGCTTGAAATGCTTTTCCAATTGTGCTCTCAGTTTGACGTATGGGTCGGTTACATCAGCTATATCAGGCAGCGTATCAACAATTTCTTGTACATCCGGGCCAAGAAGATGCAGCACGATGTTCACTTTTTGAGCAGATGATTCAATATTTTGAGCACCCATGTAAATTTCAACTGATTTGATCCATTTACCAAAATCCTCACCTTTTTGCATTCCCGGTGGCGGTGGCAGACTCGTAGCCATTTTAATTTCTTTTTGAGAGTTCAAATACGGAATTTAACCACTTTCACTTGTTTTTCTGGTTTCTTTTTCACTTTCTTTCCTTTTTAACAACTCCTTATATCTTCATTTGCATCGTAATTCAGCTTTTCTTTCCTTGCGACAATTGTTGCGCACTTGTGACATTCCTTTAATCTCCTTTTAGCTCTTATTCATTTTATCTCAGCTTGATCTCACTTTTTGATTTCTTGATCTCATCCTTGTCGCCAATTTTGTTGTTTCGTGAGATTTGTCCGTGCTACTTCATAGCTGAGACTTTATCTCGGGTTAGAGCTTGTATTGCGCAGTCAGTCGCACTACGTCGGACACACAACCTTGACAACAACCAGCCATATATGGGCAACAGAGAGGCCTCGTGAAAAAGGAAGACAACAACTGACACGTCCTCTAAAACACTGCAATAACTAAAGTCCTGCCGGCCAGCTTGGTCAAGGCAAATACACAACACTTTCCAACAAGTTTTATTTCTGTGTGTAACGACTCGTTGCGAACGACCGATGCAATTGGTTACTTTTTTAGATATCCATGGATGTTTTTTTCTGGGGAGGGACGTCCCCCACAAATAGCCCCTCCCCCGTCTCCGACGCCCATGGTACGGCCATTCCCCTGTGTATTATGAGAGAGAGAGAACTTTGTATTTACAGACACTTGGTCCAATTCTACCAAACATCACATATCAAGGCGCTATCAGAGCAGCGTTCCATGCCACTCTTAAGGGTGAGTGCCACCCTATGTCACATTTAACCAATACACTGATAATGATATTTGTCGAATCATATAAACGCTGCACGAAACACCACGCTGCTTTTCGGAACATGACATCAAAGTTATCGAGACCTTCAGACACATACATAGCCAAGGCACTGCAAAATCTATCCTAGCCGAAAAAGATTCTGACTGCGTTGTTTATTATGCCTCCGCCTGTGTGCGGTAAGAGCTGATGCGTTTGTGAGCCTTTTTCAGCAGGATTGTTTATGATGGACGACAATGAAGCCGCCGCCCGTATGGCACAGCGCGTGACTTTTGAGATGTGATGAGATGTGATCGTGCCGGCACATGGAGCAGCCGAACGGCCGCTCTCCTGTGTAGATTCGCATGCTCCCCGTGAGTCCTAACCGGAAAGCGAACCGTGCCAGTCAGATGGAGCAGCCGCACGGTCGCTCTACTGAGTGGCTCCTCATGGGTTTGGGGAGATCTGACCCAGCAGAGAAACGTGCCGGGAGATGAAGCAGCTGTGCGGGCGCTACTCGTGTGCGTGCGTACGCAGGTGTACGATAAGGTCTGACTGCTGAATGAACCGTGCCGGGCAGATGACGCAGCCAAACCGCTTCTCCTCTGTGTGGGTTCGCATGTGTACAGTGAGGCCTGACCGCTGAGCGAACCGTGCCGGGCAAATAGAGCAGCCGTGCGGTTTCTCCCCTGTGTGGGTCCGCATGTGGCTGGTGAGGCTTGGCCGGCAAGAGAAACGCATCGTGCACATAGAACAGCCAAACGGCTTCTCCCCTGTGTGAGTTCGCATGTGTAAGGTGAGGCTATAGCGCCGAGCGAACCGCGCCTGGCAAATGGAGCAGCCAAACGGCTTCTCCCCTGTGTGGGTCCGCATGTGTACGGTGAGGATATGCCGCTGAGCGAACCGTGCCTTGCAAATGGAGCAGTCAAAAGGCTTCTCCCCTGTGTGGGTCCGCATGTGTACGGTGAGGATATACCGCTGAGCGAACCGTGCCTTGCAAATGGAGCAGTCAAAAGGCTTCTCCCCTGAGTGGGTCCGCATGTGTACGTTGAGGTTTGGCCGATGAGCGAACCGTGCCGGGCAAATGGAGCAGCCAAACGGCTTTTCCCCTGTATGGATACGCATGTGGTTGGTGAGGCTTTTACGCTCAGCGAACCGTGCCGGGCAAATAGAGCAGCCGTGCGGTTTCTCCCCTGTGTGGGTTCGCATGTGGCGGGTGAGGCTTGGCCGGCAAGAGAAACGCATCGTGCACATAGAGCAGCCAAACGGCTTCTCCCCTGTGTGGGTCCGCATGTGACTGGTGAGAGTTGAACGAAGAGCAAACCGTGCCGGGCAAATGGAGCAGCCATACGGCTTCTCTCCTGAGTGGGTCCTCATGTGGCCGCTGAGAGCCGATCGCTGAGCAAAACGTGCCGGGCAAATGGAGCAGCCATACGGCTTCTCTCCTGTGTGGGTCCGCATGTGTCTGACGAGATGTGACCGCTCAGTGAACCGTGCCGGGCAAATGGAGCAGCTGTACGG